GGATTGCTTTCTAATTACTGAGAGATTTCGGCTGGTGTCTTGGCTTTCGGTGCCTTTTTGCACCTCTCTTTCTTCACGTGTTTTACACTTTTTCCCTGTGCCATTCCACATTATTACACATACATCTCTCGACATTTATGGTTTGATTTCTTTGTACAACCCCAGGCAAAAATTATGGAATCACCTGCCTCAGAGGATGTTCATTCAGTTGTTTAATTTTGTAGAGAAAAACATCATAGATCCCCCAGTAAATTTCCATCCCCAAAACTAACACCTGTGTCAAATTAAACCTGCTTGCAGTGGAAACACCATGGAGAGATGCTGCACCAAGTGGACTGACATGAATCATGGCTCCAACAGTAGAGATGTCAATTGAAACAAAATGAGAGAATTATCAAACTCTTAAGAGGGTAAAATCATCACTCAATGTTGAAAATGATGTTGGTTGTTCACAGTCAGCTGTGTCTAAAATATGGAGCAAAAACAAACGACATGGGAAGTTATTAAAGGCAAACATACTGGTAGACCAAGGAAGTCATCAAAGCATAAATGCTCAACAAAAGAAATGAGGATCGAATGGGAGAAAACTGGAGTCGACATCTGTGACCGAGCTGTAAGAATACAATAAAGTTAAACAAAAGCCATCATTAACACCTAAACAGGAAAAAAAAAAAACAAGGTTACAATGGGCTAAGTAAAAATAATTGTCAACTGGATGAAAGTCATATTCAATGATAAATCTCGAATCTGCATTGGGCAAGGTGATGATGCTGGAACTTCTGACTGGTGTCATTCCAATGAGCCTTGTAAAGATGACTGCCTGAAGAGGACATGCAGATTTCCACAGTCATTAATGATATGGGACTGCATGTCAAGTAAAGGTACATAAGGGTCAATGTCACGGCCTGCAAATAGTTAGGAATTTAATCCAATTGAAAATCATTGGCTGGTCCATGACAAGGCTCCAACCTGCAAAGCCGATCTGGCAACAGCAATGGGAGAAAGCTGGAGTCCATGCCTCAGAGACTGCAAGCTGCCATAAAAGCCAGAGGTGGTGCAACAAAATACTACTAGTGATGTTTTGGAGCGTTCTTTTCTTTTTCATGGTTCCACAATTTTTTTTCTCGGAATTTAGTGATACCATAATTTTTCCCTCTTCTTTTCTGGATTTCTTTAAGCATTGACTCCCGCCGAAATCCCACATCCTCCGTGACTGCCCTGCTGCGCTTCCGACCGCTTGAGCAAAGCAAAGTCTACAGCGTCTGCTGTTCCTCCCGTTCTGCTTTGCTTCAACATCCTCGAAGCTCGAGGAAAGCATGCACAATATTATAATTAGATTAATAGGAGCAAAACATTCAGAAATGAACGCTTAATTTAATGACATATTCAAAATATCCCCATCAGCATCCAACATATGCTCAGTTTCTGCCCAAATATTTTCTTTTTGTTGTGTATTTTTGTAACTGGGATAAATAGGATCATACAAAATTGGTTTGTATGAACTATGTTTGTTCTCTACTTCCAAACCGCATCTCTTCATACATGCCTACCATAAGTTTGTTTTGAAATTCTGAGATGCTGTAGATCTGGGAAGTTTTGACTGGATTTGACTAAAATTTTAAGCCTTTCGATATTAAATAAATATTGTATTTGAAATGAGAAATCTGCTTCCTGGTATGTTGAAGTACAAATAGTATGCATCCAATCATTTAATTAAGCGGTCTTAGTTTTGGGGAATATATAAGAATGATGCTTTAATTTTTAGATACTGATCTATCATTATTATCTTTTAATTTGACAAACTGTATCTTCTCGACGTTCTTTTTCCTGCTTTGTGCAATTGCAATTGCAGATCTTGACCTGACTGGAGCTGAGCAAAAAATAGGTTGGCTCCGTATTTTGACGGTGAATGACGGAGAACACATACGTGGACGGTGACATGCAGAGAAGCAGCGGTGGATGTGGAACAGTTCTAATTGATTTATATGACAGACAGTTACGCCACACGATGTACGTGAGCGGGGCGAGCAGAGACAGATGTGGATTCTGGGGTTTAAAGCCAGACTGTTGCCATTTGACAGGACATTAGTTTTGTATCATGTCTGATCTTCTGAATCTAACTGAATTAACATCCTCTGAGGCCCAGTGATTCCATAATTTTTGCCAGGGGTTTTATGTGTGATTTGCATGGATTGTTACCGACATATGGTGAAAATGTCATGTCAAAAGCACCTCTAGAAATATAGTTACTGAGAAAAATTTTGGTTTGTTCAATACTTTTTTTATCCTTTATATGTGCTCTTGTTTTTTTTTTATTTCGTTTACAAGAGGAAAAAGAACACCAAACATTTTTGTTTTTTTATCTTCCTGTCACTGAGGAGAGGTAGACAGGAGCTGGTACTGTGGAGCTGTGTCCCGGCTTGGGAAAAAAAAACTAACACAGTAGAAAGAGCCGAAGTAGAAAACAAACTGCAGCACAGATGAAGTCCAAAATGTACACAAGCATTTCCATTTCCAAGCTGTTTCTGATTCATCAACTCACGACTTTAAGTATGACCTGCTGTATTGTAGCCCTTTTTTTCCCCGACTTTAACACAAATTGGGCTCATGGGAAGGGGGGCCATCACAGCAAAGACTGGAGAGAGGTCCCTCTTTTACTTGAGCAACTTTTTTTTTTTTTTTTTGCATATTTTATTTCTAATACCGTGTTTGAAAAATGTGTCTATTTCTAATCTAGTTATTATGATAATTATGATTGTTCATAATTTTCATTTTGGGCAAGGTCTAGCACTGAGAAAAACTATATTTCATATGAATAAACTTTATTGAGCTTATTGAAATCTTAATGCACAGTTATCAATTCTTCGTGTTTTTAAAGATCATTTATTTTATATACTAGATGTTTTTTAATTATATTTTTTATTTCCATATTAACACTATGAATCTTGAAGTTAATTAAAGTGGATTCATGCCACTATGAATTTGGCTCAAATAGATCTGATTTTGAAGAGGCTTTCGTTTAATTTTGTCTTTTTTTTTTTCTTATAAACTTTTATACAATAAAATGATTGTATAAATCAGTTGGATCATTCTGGGCTGCTATTTTTTCACAGGAGTTTGATTGCATTAATTCTCACCCAGACTTTGTTGGAATTGCATGTATAATTTTGGTCTTGTTTATATTAAAGGGTCCAGTTCTTCTTCAGGTTTCTGTATTTTTGAAGTTGGTCTGATATTTTCTTAAGCATCTCTTTGATAAGATACAATCTATGTTGGATTCTATACCTCAAACCATGACACTTGAACATCCTTGCTTTGGCTTGGCATTAAGTTTGTTTCCTAAAATGCTCAAAACCCAATTTTTGCTTTTTGTTTGTGAAAACTTGATTTCCATCCATTTTTGTTCATTATAGATTGTTTAAGAACAAAATTTATCTTGACCCAACGATTTTTAGCATGAACAAATGTTCAGTTTCATTTTTGCTTAAAGATAAAAAAAAAAACTGATTTCATTTAGACATATTACGGTTTTATTTCAAGTTGCTCTTAATATGGACCATACAAGCTATCCACAGGCATAAACTTGTACAAACAGAGCAATGTGAGTTTTTTACTGCGGTCCTGTGTTACCCACCCACCGTGTTTTGGTTCTCCCTTAACTAGAAGATTTCCTCTTTCTGTAATCTCCTCTGCCTCCATGGAGCTGCCTGCAGGACATTTGAAAGGTGAATTGGAGGAAGAGTGCATGGCATGGTTGAGCCAGAGCCGGTCCTTGCTGTGCAGGCATTGTATTGATTGCAGTGTGACAGTGTCACACCTAGTCCTGTTTAGTGCAGGACAGAAATGCCACATCACTCTCTATATTTATTGCTGTATCTCTTTGGAGCTAGGTGACTAATTGTTCTTTTGTTGTCTACATGTAGTAGTCATGTTAAAGTTTAAATATTTCTAATTGACTTTTGCTTTGACTTCAAAACCTATAGAAAATTTTTGCCTGACATATGTTGTAAATGCTTTTAGTTGGGGATATAGACAAGAAACTTATATTTTATTAACTTAAGCTAACGTACATTATTCTACAGTTAACTTGAATTTGACAGTGACACATAATTAGTGACACATAAGCCATAACGACACCATCTCCACCCTCCATCTGCTCCAGACAGTGCCTCTGATGGACCTACCACTCTGTCCAACTGATGCTCCCTCTTCACTCCTAACTTTGGCTTGTTTATATCTTTTAATAAGCAGGTTTTTTTTTATTGCTGTGACGTCTTTTCTCTGAACTGATCAGTCTTGTGTCAATGTATAAATCAAGCTGTTTGAGTTTTTTTTTCTCCAGTCTGAGAATTGTGCACATTCACTGCTAAGAAGAAATAAATTGCCATCTGTCATTTTCTTATATTTCTTTCAAAAGAGTCAGAATGTCTTGTAATTTCTTTAAATGCTATTTAGCAATAGTTTCTAAGCATCCCAGAAGGTCTTTCAAAGCTTTCTTTGGACATAAACTTTTTCTGAATAACAAGTCTCAGGAGGACAATGCATGTTTCTTTTGCTGTTTGTTGGACTCCTACCAATAGTTCTTTGTGGATTTAAGCATATCTTGGGTACTTTAACTTGAAGGGTGAAATATTGTTATGTCATCATATAACAGGTAGTTAATTAGATTTGGATCTTTGGCCACTGTGCATGCAGCCAGTTTGTTTGACTATCATTAGTTGAAGCTATATCCTTTTAACGTACGTCAAAACTTTTGAAACTTTCCTTTTTGATGTGGTCAGCCTCTGTAGCAGGGAAACCTCTCAGCTTGGTATGTCTTATTAAAGTTGCTGGAAATCAAAGAGGATTTCTGTACACTTGTATCCAGGGTCCAATATTAACACTCGCCAAATGCATTTTCTTTTTGTCGGTTAATAGCAGAGCATCATTCGCCACAAGGCGACTAAATGTTTTCACCACAGTCTCTTACCAAATTTACCTATTTGACTTTCTTTTTTTAGGAGCATTTCCTGCCTCCATTGTCCATGCAAGAAAAGACCGTCTTCATCGTCCTGCACACATTGCCACTAAAACATTCCAGGCACTGCGCATCTTTGTGAACGATGAGTTGAAGGAACTGCACACAGGGCTGTGCGCAGCGAGGTCGGCACTAAAACCTGGAGGACGGCTCTGCGTGATCACGTTTCATTCGTTGGAGGACAGACTGGTCAAACACTTCCTGCAGGATCGTGATTTATCTCATTTGGAGCAATGCCACTTCATTGAAAACAAGAGAAATGGTAGAAGGGAAAAACTGGTAGACAAGAACAGAGAATGTAATAAAAATGCCCACTGGTTTCCTGTACAAAGAAAAGTGGTCACTCCAGAAAAAGATGATGTAAGAGAGAATCCTCGTGGACGATCTGCAAAACTCCGTGTAGTTCTACGGCGGTAGTTACAGCAGGGATTGTGTTTTATGGTTTCAATATTTTTTTTACAGTCAGAACCATACTGTACAAATATCTGAGTTTTGTTGCCCAGTAAAGCAGTGAAATAGTTTGTCCTTGAAATGTGTTATGGCTTTTGGGCCTTTTGGTTAAAAATAATACAGGCTAATGGCCGTTTCAGACAGAACGCAGTTTGACCTGCGTTTGCTGTAGCATTCAGCATGGCACAGCACTGGCTCTTCAACACTGTATTGGCTGAGTTACTGGTCATTTGTGCTGTTTTTTTCTGCAGCACAAATGCATCTGTTCCATACTAAGAAGAAAGAACTAGCCTACTAATTAGGAGAAAAACAGCAGCATGGAAGAGGCTCTGCATGTATGGAAACCTCAAGTCCAGGGAGCAGCTTCGGAAGTTCTAGCTCATGAAAGAGCTCTATTACCAATAAGACACATACAATTCTAGCTTTTCCTCCATTTTACCTTCTAGTGTCTCACCTGACAAAATGCTTTCTCTTGACTGCAGAAGCTCAGTATAGTTAAATACGTGTATCCTCTCTCAAAGGGCTGTAGCCCAATTACATCTGTATTTTACCCTCAAGTTACAGTTAATGCCAGGAAAATTGTTTCATCTTTTTAACCTTCATTCAACCTTCAATTAAATAAATAAATTGATTAAAAAAAACACCAGGCCTTTTAACGTATTTCACTATCAGTACACTGGTTTTATAATCCCTATTTGACTTAAACATTCTTTTGCCTTAAATAACAATTTACATCCATGGATGTTTTAAAGTGGGTATTGTATAGGCATTGTGTTGACCATTTGATGTGCATTTGTTGCAATATTCCTGCTATTTTTGCCACCTTCATGTTAAACAGGTGGCTGTTTTTGAATTGGTATTGTTGTCTCTACCATTGTGACATCACTGAGTAACTGATGTGAGTAGCTCTGCTGCTATGAGGTATAATGCTATGTTCAGACTGCATGCGCTGGAAGCAGCAAAAAAGCACCTGCTGCCTTATTTTTGATGCTTGTAAACATTAATGTCTGATGCAACTCAAGTGCATCTTTTACGCTCCTGAAGCGCATCAAGAAAAGTGTGTTCAGATACGTCTAATGCTTCTGCTGCTCCTGTGTTCAATGGCAGAAAGCGGGTTTGCTAAATCTGCGGTGATAAGTGGGTAAAAAGTAGTTTTGATATGTTTTTAAGTGAGAAAGTCCACCTCAAAGCATCATCTGTGCATCAGTTATTTAAGATTACAATCCTGCCTTCAAATATTATTTCATTGTCAGACCAGAACGAAAACCATGTAAACTGGTGGTATGCTTTCACTGGAAACCCTTTTAACGGCAGACCTGTGGTCTGCCTCTTGGGGGTCATAAGCTAAGGTTTGTGGTGCCTGGAAAGGGACGGTTTTCGGTTTTCATGTACGTAATCCAAACTGTAAGCACCAGAATAATATAATCAAATATATTTTGCTGGCAGGTTTCGACATTTTAAGTTAATTCAGGCGTTAAACTGTTTCAGGGTGGTGATCATTGCGATCTGCATCAGCAGCGCTGTGTGAGTCTCCCTGCTGCTCCCAGATCAGCTTCTCTGATTCGTTGATGTGGCACGTCATGCAGCAAAAGCTCAATTTTTCTCCAGCATCTGGTTTTGAAGCGTGTGACGTGCTCATGAGGCGCTGCTTTTATGCATCGAGATGCTCTGCTCCTGCTGCTCTAGACGTGCTGAAGGACCTTTTGATGCACATTGATGCGTGTAAACCAGCTGCTTCTGGTGTATCAGCAGCGTGCGGTCTGAACGTGGCGTAAAAGTTGCTTCACCTCATGCCTTTTTTGTTCATTGGAGTGTCTTTTTCCCCCATTCTCTCTGTGTCTGTTGAAGATGCTTGACAGGAATCATCCACCTAGACCAGGCATGCCCAAAGTCGGTCCTCGAGGGCCGCAGTCCTGCAGATTTTAGAGGTTTCCCTGCTTCAGCACAGCTGATTTACATTGCCTGACCTAGACCATGCCCAACTCTTAACACCTCCCTGCACAACCGCCAGACATCACCTCTGAAAGGTACAGGTGCACTATGCTTCCTGGTCCAGGCAAAGATTCCACAGAGGAGTAACCAGCTTCCAAAATCAGGAGCTGATCCTTCTCATTCCTGGGTGAAGAACAGACCACCCAAGCGACTATCTGAGGGCAGATGGTGGACGGCCCCTGTTCTCGACCTGTGGCTCACCACAGACCTGTATGGACAATTGGGATGAACCAGCCAACCAAATTTCAATTTCTTTTATTTTCGCCAACCAGAAATAAAAGCTGCTTAATAGAAGCAAAGAAGAATCCCCCTTAGAGTGGAAATGGTTAGCTTTTTTTGAATGGTTTTATTTATGGCCAATTTATCAAATAAAATGATTATGCCTTTAATGAAAATAACTTCATTTAAATAATCTGGGCTACCTTTTACTGTAAGTTTGTTTGCTTGTAACATAATGCCATAGTTAAATATTTTTTATATATGAGAGAATTTTTATTTCGGGCTGAGAAAAATAGGCTTGGCCGGTAAGTAATTTTCTCTCCCAGTCCACTTGGCCGGTGAGTCCATCCATCCATCCATCCATTTGCTGTCATGCTTATTCCTGCTGGGGTCATGAGGGTTGCTGGTGCCTATCTCCAGCTGTCAATGGGTGAGAGGCCGGGCAGAACTGCGAGCAGAGTACCGCACCACAGGGTCCTCCCAGCGACCTGTCTAAAGAAAAAAAATCATCCACCCACACCAGCCAGATATCCATGCCCCGGCCAACCCAGCCAGCCAGCCAGTTGTCACAGGGTTTGTACATTATTCCACCCTCTTGACACACCATTTTTACCATCACATCTTACTTTCTATTGTATAGCATTACCTTTTGTTTTCATATTGAAGTATTTAAAGGGCTTTTAACAGGCTAAAGGAAATTCATTTTTTAACATTTAAGTATGTTTAAAAGTATAAAGGATGATCTTTTTTATCCGGGTGGATCATCTAAATTAGTGGCCCTCCTAATTGTCAGTCATTCTGGTGATAAGTTTACATAAGGCCATCCTACATGCTCATCCTGTTAGCTATCTTTTTCTCTGCATGCACACTTTCAGGCATATATCTGTGGTGAGCTACGGTCTCAGTCGTTGAAGCTCACCTTTCTTGCCTCGGTTCTTTTAAAATGGCCAAAGGTCGTAATAGAAAAAGTGTCTACGAAGTGTATGAGGGAAAAAAAGAAAGGCCTCAGAAGAGGCAGATATATACCGGAATGCTCTGCGCGGAGAGCTTTCCTCGCAAAGCATTATGGGATTTGCTGTCACAGCGGCCCACTGTTGCCATAGCCTGTTGCTACCCGACAGTGGCGACTGATAACACCATGCAGTGGAGGAGGAGTTACGTGATCAACGGGGAGCAAAAAGCAGTGCTCATCTGTCCGAACGGTCATTTAGCTGAGTTCGCTATAAAGTCCACTATATAGTCCCCGCTCTATATAGTGATTGAGTTTTTACTTTTAAACAGAGCGTGCATAAGGAGAAATGGGCTCCTGCATTCTCTCACACGTTTTTAATAGGCATTCCCTCTCAGGAGCAGGTACAGGGTTGTGCATGTGCATTTCTCTTTTTTTTTTTTTTTATTGCGAAAATCCTCCACAATACCTTTGAGCATTTGTTTCTATTACTTATCAATCGATGACTTATGACTCATGTATCATATATCATGATGCACAAAAATGATCATGAAAAATCTCATTGTTTAAATACAATGTGATGCTGACTATGAGTCGTCATAACAGATTAAAACTTTAAGATGGCAACTGTATTGGTCAGTGCTCAGAAGCTTAACATGTAAAAGTAACATAAGTACTTTTTATTTCATTGACGTCTATATTTTCCCTGAATCTCCTTGATGAGTAGCCCAAGTACATCCTCTACTGCGCCATATGAATCAGTAATGCCACTGAATACTGAATGACGCAAGTGTCAGAGGTGGTGCTAAATGAGCTGGGTGGTTGTTCTTGAGCATTCTCTCACCTTCAGCTGTAAGCAGATGAGGTGTTTTGATCTTTACTATTTGACTTTGACTAATTGTAATTGCTTCAACAAGATTATTAACACTTTTCTTTCCTTCTTTCACCAGTTTGTGCTCTCTAAATATACCCATGTTGTTACCTTGGAAACTACGTGGTGCAAGTTATACTCAAGTGCATCTAAATTTATATGCTGTTGTTGAAGCTAATTTGAAATAAAGGCGTATCCTGAGTTTTCTACGCCCCTTCCTGGTGACATCAGTGGGATGTAAAACTTGAGATACATAAAGAGATTAAGATTGTCTTTCTTTTATTTTAACTCTTCACAGAGGCCAAGTGTCTGAGGAGTATCAGAAGATGAACACATACGCTTTCGGTATCCATATTGGAATTGGATATCCAGCATTATGGCTACAACAAAGAAGACTTTATCCTCTCACAATTCTCAGTATAAGTGATTATCCTAAGTTTAACTCTCAGGTGATTAAAACTGAGTTCATTGCCTTATACATAAGTTATTACTGTGCATTCTTTGCAATAACCTACTCCTAAAGCAAGCACAGTGTGTAATGTCTAATTTTGGCTAAAGGAACAAAGGACTGAACTATGCGTTGGGGTCCAAGGCTTTATTTTCAGATAAAAGTAAATCTTACAAGTCTGGGGCCAGAGTGAGCATTGATCCAGTCTGAATTTTCCAGATTAGGTTGTTTTTTTTTTTGTTTGTTTTCTTTTTTGGTGGTGGATCTGCTTGTATAGGGTCCTTTATTTTTGATAGGTCCATGAAGTATTGATAGGAAGAAGAAAGAGACACCAGATCCACCAATCCAGACCAGCTGAAGGATTCTATTACAACCTGTGGTTATCAGCCACAGACTAATAACCTCTATGCAACTTAATATTGATGCAGTAAATGGTGCAAAATAAGCCTCAACCAAGTAATGAATGCAAGTAATGTACAATACATAAAAAGGCTTTTCCAATTTACTGATATATGTTTTTTTTTTCATTTTGCAAAAGTGCATTTGGGGTCTTTTTAGCTTAGAAATCAGGCAATGTGCATCTTAAATAGATTACTGTATTTACATTCTTATGAGAATAAATTACAATTTCAAACATTTGATTTCACCTATATGCATCTTCTTCATTTATTTACTTATTTATTCATTCCAAGCAGCATGACTTTCTTCTAGTTATATAAATGCTCTGAATTGCTAAAGCTCCAGACTTTCTAATGATGTGTGCCATGTAAAATATGGCAGCAATTGATGCAGTGTGTGGACTAGGACCTCATAGCTGCCTTATCCTTCAGGTTTCTTGGGTCCCGGGCAGGGCCTGAAGTTAACTTTATAGGCCACCAGCCACTATGGTTTCTTTACCAGCCAAAATGTTGTCCTTTTACACAATATGCATTAGATTGCTTTCAGGTTATTGACCGGCCTAATCTCAAATGTCTCTAGAACTCATAATAATAATAATTGTATCTGACCTGGTTTGAATAGAACTTAGAATAGAAAATGATAGAAAGACAAACAGCCAATCATCTCTATGATGGTCTCATTTATTTAGTTAGCACCAAGCTGCAAATCTAATTAACTGTGTAAACGGATTCTTTACTGCTTTCTGCATCCAGGTTCAACTTTTTATTTTTACATTACATTAAGGAAATTGTTTTTAAGTTGTACATAGAAGTTTGTTTTCATTTTCAAGTCAAATATTTTGACTTAACTTTTAGGTAAATAACCATAATAACAATAATGATGTAATCAACCAATCAGAAAAGCTGATCTTGGCAGGGAGATAGACACAGCTCTGCTGATACAGATCGCTATGATACATCCACTGAAACAGTTTATTAACACTGAAATTAACTTAAAATGTTAAAACCTGTCGTTTGCTTTTATTATTCTGGTGCTTGCAGTTTGTACCACATACCGACCATAAGGTCTCATTTGGGCAAGTCTTGTTGCTTGGGCGTCAAAAGATTTTCCGGGACGGGCTTTTAGAGCTTCAGTCGCTTAAGGAATAAGATGATGCGTAAAAATATTTGTGACAAGAAAAACAATTTTTAGTCTGTATTTTCATTAAATTAATACAGGAAAAACACAAATTGGAAAGAAACTGGACTCTCCATCAGTTTTTAGAAGATGTTTCGACACCTATCGAGGGGTCAATGCTGTTGGCTCGCACCAGAGCAAACTCTAGTTGGATGTATTTAAGTAGCATGGAGGTCCATCCTCCTGCACACATTCCAAGTCAGATGCAAATCAAATAGCTACTCTTTGTTCCTCTGGATTGTTGGAGCCTTTTGTTGTGTATGGGCTATGCGATTGGTGTTTGAATCATAATGGGAGTGCTTATGTATCTTCTTGGTAATGAGTTCAATGACTTAATTTTAAATGCTTGGAAGCTGAAACCCCACTCCTCCCCCTCTTTTTCAGTGATGGCTTTTCTCTGGCTTTTGAGAAAAGCCATCACTCAACAGAGCTGTTCACAGTTTTGTTCGCAGTTTACTTTTTTGTATTTTGGAACTTGATTACACCTCTATGTGTAAATATGTGAGAAAGTTTAAAAGCTATAAGAAGTCAACCTTTATAGAATCGAGAGTCCTTAAGAAGCAAACAAGGTCGCACAGTTTATATCTAAAGCTTTCATTTAAAACCTACAACAGCTTCTGTTATGGACAGTAAGTTTTGGCATGTAGGTGATTAAAATGCTGTTAGCAACCAAATTTTATCATTTCAGACAGCTGGCATAAATCTGTCTCAGGTGATGATAGAGAAATTCAGCTTGTTATGAGCTGACACTAGAGAGCCAGCATGTGTGCATTAATGTGCGTGACGAACAGAATTTGCACCATCTGGGAAGGCATTATTTGATGTAATAAAGATACTTTTCTAAGAGAAAGTTAAATCTTTTCCTCTGATTTCAGAAGAAAGATCACCTTGATACCCATGTTTTGCCAAACCCCCTATTGCTGTATTTCAAATGTAAGGATATTAAAATGACCAACCCAGATGATATAAACAGTTAATCCCATTATTGTTCAAAAACTGATCAGCTGCACTGTGACGTTAAAAGAAAATCTGAGTGGATACAACATACATTTTCTCATGATAATTCAGACCACACAGTTTGCCACATCAGCCAAAACTGTAAAGCTAAAAATGGTTATGGGTCACAACAAATAGGACATGGGACACCATTTCCTTCTAAGAATGTGCTGGGTTTTTTTTGCCAAGTAAAAAAAAAAATTCAGAATGCAGAGAACAGTGTATCCAGCCCTGCTTAAGTGAAAAGTTAAAGTCTTAGATTGTTGTTATTCTTCTTATTACTAACCCCTCATTTCCAAAGCATTCACAGTGCCTCCGAAGGGCATTGCAGTGAGCACAGTATGCTGGCTAAAATTGTGGCTCAAATGTGTTTTGGCCGGTTGCTGCAACAAGACTTCAGTGAATCCTCAGAAAACAAATCAGTCCAACAGGAAATGAAATAATCACAGAATTCAGATTTTCGAAATAATTCCCTAAACGGACTTTATTTTCTTTAAGACCTCAATATATTATTAAAGCATGAGTTATATTCTTAAATCAGTTACTGGACGCAATGCCTAAACTGGTAGCTGGTGTTGCCAGATTGGGTGTTTTTCCCGCTACATATTAAGGCCTGTTTACGGTTTGATTTAGCCGGGGTTTCGCCTGGAGGGCTCTATAGAAATCTGGCAACCTATTGAACAGAGCTGAACTGAGAGAGCGTGCCGATCACAGACACCAGAATGAACGAGTTCATGAACTTTGGTTCAATGAACGCGTTCAGGCACAACACTGGAGATCAGCCTGTTTTTCAGTGTAGTCCTGTTTCTGTGACTGGCTGGATGTGCTCTCTTCATCCTCTGATATGGGAGCTGGCTTGGAGCTCTTCTGCCTGGCTGTGTGTTTCCTGGAGGGGGCCGCCTTTTACAGTTGTCTTTTGTATCTCTGCTTCTATCTCCTTTAACCCCAGTCGGCCTCAGCAGATGGCTGCTCACACGAGCCTGGTTTTGCTGGAGGTCTCTTCCTGTTAAAGGGGAGTTTTCCCTCTCCACTGTCGCTACAAGCATGCTAAGTGTGAGGAATTGCCTTTGAATCAATAAGTCGATTCAATCAACTGGTTTTCCTCAGATAGAAAACTCTGAATAAATTTGACTGTATGATCTGGTGAACTGTAAAGGGCCTTGAGAAGACGTGTTGTGAATTGGGGCTATATAAATAAACTTTATTGCACTGAATTTAATCATAAGCATTAAAACGCTGCTTCTTTGGATATGAGGCTCAAATTAAGATCGCAAAGATCGGTCAGATCAAGGTAACTGAGATAACTGTTGAGTGTAAATGGCACACACAACTGAACCGCACTAACATGGTACTAATTAGATCGCCTCACTTGGGGGCAAGAACCCTTGCTAGCGTGATGTGT